ATGATAGCACTACTGGATTCCTTCTTTCAAATAAATAATAATGAAATATAGACAACGATAGTCAGCCGAAATGAAATGAATATTAAATTCATTCATTTATTTATAGAATAATTGGGGTAACACAATTATGATATCATTAATCTGACAATGTCAGAAAAATAATCTAATCATAGCTTATATAATCCTAGATCATCTACCCTTACAAATATACAAGCAAACAAAATTACAAAAAGTCGAATTCTATTTTCTTTTTAAATCGGAAAAGGCATTAGATCTCACTAAAAAAAGACATTCACCCAAATGCAACGTCCAACCAATCCCCAACCGAATCCCAAGCGCACGGACTGCCCTTAACAGCAAAAGGTCGCGTCCGGAAACCAGAGAGCCATACTCACTGTCCTCTGGAGGTGTGTAGCAGTAACGTGACTAAGGTGGAGATACCCGGGCTCATGCAGTTGTTCGCGAGGAGGGCGTATTTGAACTCGTCCTCGCAAACCACGTGCTCCGCAAATTTCACGTGCAGTTTGTTCTCCGGCCGGAAGATCTGCACGTACTGAGGGACGTTGGGAGCGAAGTCCTTCACCGCCCACGACCGCAGGATGGTGTGCTCGTCCTGCGGGTTGGTTGGAAGGGCGGGCGACGAGGGGAGAAGGGGGGGGGGGGGGTTGTAGAGAGCGGTGTGGAAAACTATTTTTTTTTTTTTTTACAAAGGTGTTCGATTTTAAATTCTGATTTGTTTATATGTATCGTTTTGTATTGACAGCTATCGTTCTTATTTTGTCATTAGTTAAACCTGTCGAAATATTAAGGTACTTCGGCTTGTGTCTGCGATATTTATGCACATGTAGTTCAACCTCTTCTTTGAGTTTTCATCCGATTTTAAGCTGTATGTAAAATAACTATATGTGTGATAAAAAAGCAACCAGCAGAGGCTTAGCAACACACAGGACATTCACAGACATTAACAAGGAGCGTCTTGCACGCAGGACTCCTACTTGGAAGAACAATCCTCCTCAATCCTACAAGTTACAAGCTACGCCTCTCCTCCTTCCCCTCCTTCCCTCTTTTCCCTCTATCCTCTCCTTTCTCCGCTCTCTTTCCTTCTCACCTCTATCCCCATCTTCCCTCTATCCTCTCCTTACTTCCCTTTTCTCCTCCAATCCTCCCTTTATTTCCCTCCTTCCCCTCCTCCTCCTCCATCCCTCCTTCCCCCCCTCTCCCCTCCACCCCCTCTCCTCACCGCCGCCGTCTTGTCCGCGTAGTGTCTCGCCGCCAGGATGAAGCACGCCTCCGCCTCGCTCATCCTCGCCCGCGTCAGGTCCCCGTCCTTGAGGCACGACCCCTGGATGTAGATAACCCGCTGCGCCCACATCGGCACCTGAAGGATCATCTTCATAGTCGGGTCCAACTCCATGGGAGAGAGTAGCACCACGAAGTAATCCTGGAGGACGAGAGAGATCTTGGCGTCAAAGGAAGCGCGGGTTTCGGGGAGGACAAGGAGACACTTTATTAAACTGAAGGCGGTTGAGTTGGGTTGAGGTTGAGGTTGAGGTTAGCTTGGCTTTGATTGAGTTGGCCTGGGTTGTGTTGTGTTGGGAAGGACTGGTTGAAACTGGTTTGGTTTAGGTTGGACTCTGTTAGTTGGTTGGGTTGTCTCTTCACGTTAAGTAGGATTAAATTAGCTAGTTGGTTGGGAACTTGGTATCGTTGCGTCGTTTGGGTTAGTTCAAGTTGGTTGTGCTTGATTTAAGTTGGTGGGATTAGGTTATGTTGAGTTGGGTTGAGGCTTGGAGTGATCTGATTTGACTTGGCTTTATTGGTTTGAGTCTCTTTTGGGTTGACGAGGGAGCGTTTAGAATAGCGGAGATAGTGGAGAAGCGAAGGGGATGATAGGGGGGGGGGGGGGAGAAGAAAGCAGGAGAAGGAGGAGAGGAGGGGAGGAAGGAGAGAAGAGGAAGGGAAGGAAAAGAAGAGAAAAGAAGAAAGGTAACGGGAAGAAGAGAGAAAGAGGAGGAGGGGAGGAGGGAAAGAAGAGGAAGGGAAGGAAAATACGAGAAGAAAAGAACAATAACGGGCAGAGGAGAGAATGGAGGAGGGGAGGGAGAGAGAAGGGGAGGAGAGAGGGGAGGGAGCAGCAGAAAGGCTGCATTGGATTAGTATAGATCAGTAATGGCTTATCCATAACCTAATTGTTGAAGATCAGGTGCATGTGATTGTACAAAAGGGTTTGTTGAAGATGATAATAACATCGATGTTGCTGCTGCTGATGCTGGAGGGAGCGGGGATGGTGGTGACAGTGGCGGTTGTGATGATGATGGTGGCGGCGACGCTAATGTTGGTGAGCATTAGAATAGTGCCTTAAAAACAGAATTACCAACGGAACCCCATGAAACTCCATAAAAACTCCGTCGGCGCCAACCACCGCAGCATCACCGATATCACCATCTCCATATCCCCGCCACCTGCTCCTCCATCCACCACCACCTCCTACTCCAAGACC